GAGGCATTACCTAGCTATAATAATATAGACGCGGTTCGTAAGACTTCGTAGCCTATCTATTAGTATAGTAACTTATATTTATATACTAGAGTATTTTTTCTAGATAAGGTCTACTTAGATCTTTAATAGACTAGTCTTAATCTAGTCTAGTCTAGATTCTAGATTTAACTCTAGCGTCTACTTTACTTCTATAGTAAGTTCTTAGATATTTTAGACTAGACTCTAGAAGATACTAAGAAGAATAGTCTCTCTCTTCTTAACTTCTCTCTCTATATATATTATCTAGTAGTTAATCTTATTTATAAGATTTTCTTTAAGTAGAGTTCTCTCTATTTTAGTTATCTATAATATTTTATATTTTTAGCTATTTTTTATTTTCTAGATAGATATTTAGTTATTCTAGAATATACTACTATATAGGTATTTCTATTATATAGATAGTAGAGATATATCTAGTAGAGACTAGAGTATATTAGTATCTAGAGCTACTATAATTATTAGTTAAGAACTATTCTTAACTAATAAAAGAAAATTAGTATATTAGTATTTCTTATTAGTAGTCTATACTTGTATCTATAAAGAGCTTTTAAGTATATATATATATATATAGTATCTCTATATATTAGTATTATTATATAATATATACTATATATATATATTAGAAGTTATTATACTTAGTATACTCTATTAATTAATATATATAGATTACTATATTACCCTAAATTAACTAGTTTTAGTCTCTTAGAGTATAAGAAGTTTTTTTAGTTTATTACTTATAGATAAAAATATTAAGATATAATAACTAAATAATAAATTAGACTTTAAGACAATCGGACCCTTTAAAATAAAATAAAAAATTTTAGAAGTTAATTATAAACTATCTTTACCTTAATATATAAGAATAAACCTAGTATTTTATATCTTATTACTAGAACTAGTACTATATAATATAAAAATCAAAACTAATATTAAAGCTATAGATAAAGAATTTAAAGTTATAAAGATTCTAGAATCTAGAATTAGTAATAGATTACTAGAATACCTAAATAAAGTAGAAAGACTATAAATATATAACTAATACTTAGAAACCTAGAGAATATTTAATAAACTACTAGTAACTAGTATAGAAGTTCTATTAAATAAATCTAGATTTATCTAGTTCTCTATACTAAGCTAAGAATTATTAATATTTAAAAAAGAATTTAGAATCTCCTTAGTAATAACTCTCTATTATTATTTAAGTTACTCTTTCTTTACTTTAAGATCTATTACTAATAGATTCTAATAAAGTATATTCTTATAATAATACTTTAATAGCTTCTACTATCTCTCTAGATACTCTAGATATATAAAGATAGTCTAAGTATTCCACTAAGCTTTTTGCTAAGTAGCGGCTATTTTTTTTTCCTCTAGTTTAAAATAAGCTTTCTTAGAATAAACCTTCTTATCTAGAAATATTACTTATCTACTCTAATAAGAAGAATAAAGACTTATAAGATAACTTACTTAAAGCTTTAATTCTATATTTACTTACTAAATAACTCTAATAAATATACTCTAAATACTTATTAGACTTTATAAATACTATCTTATAAATTAAGCTATATTTTTTATAAAATTAATAAGTAAAAGGTATTTTATTACTCTTATAATTAATTAAGATAGATAAAGTAACTCTCTATTTTACTAGAATAATAATAATAATATTAGTGTTTAACTAGGAAGAACTATATATATAGCTATATATACGTTCTATGGGTATAGACCTTCTCTAGTCTAAGCTACTATATATATAAGAAAACCTTCTATAATTAGCTCTCTAACTAGACTCTATTACTAATCTAACCTAGTCTAGTCTAAGTCCTTAAATTCTATTAGATAATAAACTTACTTCTTATTCTTTAAAATTAAACTTTTTATTATTATATTAGTACTAGCTCTTAATAATACCCTAACTAACTATAGTAAGTATTATCTCTTCTATAATTAGATAGTTTACTAGACTAGACCTAGTCTATTATTTCTATACTACTAGGTTTTTTCTATCTATAGAAATATAGCTTTATACTAGATATTAGTTATTAATTAAGATAACTAATACTAGAGAGAGTATATATCTAATAGATCCGTGTCTTAGTACTAACCCTAGCTAGACTAAATTTAGAAATTATTCTTTAGGGCTATATAATTATCTATTAGTAGATAGAATACTTAATTAGATATTACTATCTATTTTATAATTTACTAAGCTAGAGTAAGTATAAGCTAAGCTAGATTAGAGTAGATAAGGCTCTATAGAGATAGATAAGGCCCTATATACATTCTATAATTTGAGCTAAGTAGGATTTTTTAGGTCTAGCTACTCTAGACTTAGCCCTACTACTTAAGGTAGTATAGATAGATAGCTATATTAGATAACTTTATTATATAATACTACTATATTATCTAACTATTACTTAGAACTAAGTAATTATATAATAGTAATCTTTATATTATATACTTACTTAACTCTATATATCTTTAGTAGAGTATATAAAAACTAGTATATAAAAAGATAGCTATTATAGAATTTAAATCTATAATATTAGATAATAAACGTTTCTAGTAATATAGTATAGTACTACTATACTACCTAGTCTATTTCACTAGAATAGACTTTAGAGATTTAACTAATTTAGTAACTCTAGATATAATAGAAAGAAAGAAAGAAGAGCTTTTTATTAAAGGAAATTAGAATAACTATCTACTTATAAATAGCTATAGAAGTACTTTAGAATAAAGTACCTTAGAAGAGATATTATATAATAAATTATAAATTAAGATTATAGAAGAATATATAGACCTTAGTATAAATATTATAAGAAATAGTATAATATATAGAAGAGATATCTATAATACTATAGATAATCTTAGATAATAATCTAAGACTAAGATAGATACTAATAAAGAGAACTAATTATAGATACTTAGAATAGATATTCTAAGTAGTATACTAAGTAATTAGAAATAGAATACTAGTATTCTAAGTAGTATACTAGATACTAAGAATAGGTATTCTAATTAGAGAACCTTAGTAGAACTATATAGACTCTTTAAATCTAATATCTAGAGATAGTTCTATAGTAATTAATTTAAACTTATACTAATATAAATACTACTTTACTTATCTACTAGCTAGTTACTATTTATACTCTATTAATACTTACTATAAATCTACTTATACTCTTCTAAGTCTTCTAAGTATCTTTATCTTTAGAAAAGTTATAATACTCTATATAATAGACTAATTTAGAGATAAGCTATACCCTTACTAGAAAGGTTTATTATATATAGTATCTTATAGTAACTTTATAATACTCTTTTATACTTAGAATAGCTTTATAGTAATCTCTATTATCTTAATATAATATTATTCTACTTTAAATTAAGTTTCTATAAACTATACTATATAGTTCTAACTAAAGTTTACTTTAAATAGACTTATATAGATTAATATATATTAACTATTATTATAAATAAACTCTATAATATAGACTAATTTTATCTAGTTATTCTACTATATCTTAAGAAAGCTAAGTAGATTTCTACTTTCTCTCTTATTAAACTTACTAAAGTTCTATTACTACTCTTATATCTATATATATATTATATTTCTATATTACTAGAGATATAGATAGTATAGATAGAAGTACTTATAGAAGACTATATATAGATAGTATAAATAGTATAGATAGAAGTACTTATAGAAGACTATATCTAGATAGTATAGATAGAATACTTTATAGTATCTCTATTATATATTCTATCTATATATACTTTATAAGAATACTTCTAGATACTATAGCTCTAACTATAATAGTAAATACTCTTTCTAGTTTATAATATATATAAAGTAAAAGTAGATTACTAAGTATATTAATATAATAAAAGTATAAGAGATAAGATAGCTATAGTAAGTTATAGAACTCTCTCTAGTAATAGTAGTACTACTACTATCTTCTCTAACTATTCTCTAATAAGAAAATAAAGATAGAAATATATAATAGTATACTATCTAGAAGAAGATAGATAGACTATAGAGTATTATTAAGATAGCTACTATATATAGTTATTTATATCTCTATTATACTAGTTTATAGATATATATACTCTCTAGTACTTAATAAGAATATAGAGAATACTATAGATTATATAGATAAATATATAATATAAGTATAAGAACTAAATTTTACTTATAAAGAAGATAGAAGTAGTAATACTTACTATCTAAGAGCTATATAAATACTACTAGATCTATAAGCTAATAATATACCTAGAATACTATACTATCTACTTTCTAGAACTAGATAGAAGGGTTCTATTATATATATAAGAGTTATATTATATAAATATAAGTCTATTCTACTAGTAGTATAGTTATATACTAAGAGAGATAATCTCTAGATAGATATAGACTCTATCTATATCTATAATATATATAATTAATAATAGTTACTTATATAAGATAATATATTCTTTTTAGTAACTTTAATTATTTCTACTAATAATAGAGAGATCTAAATATTATAAGAAAGAAACTATAAGTATAAAAGCTATATATAAGGTACTATAACTTTCTCTATCTTCTTATATCTATAGAATAAATTATATAGTAAAAATATAAATAGAATAAGATTAGATCTATACTTATTCTAGAGAATCTCTACTTTTATCTCTCTAATATATTTCTACTATAGAGTAGTTAATACTCTAAAGTTTTAGACCTTCTATTTTTTTATCGTATCTAGGCTAAGGCATCTTATATCGATTACTTGTCTTGTCTTTGGTCCCAATTCACCTTATCACCCTCCTTATCGTCTTGCTTCTCCCCCACCTTGTTCCCCTCTTCTGGTCCATAAGCTCGTCTTCCACTCTAACTGCTGTTATCGTTTAAGACTCTCAACGAGCGAATATCCGCAACGATACGATTGATAACAGCGATACTTCGGCATAAAAGTATAATGTCTAACGGCTCCAACGATCGCCCTGGCCCTCCTTCTCCCTCCCCAAACGCGACTGACAGACGTCGGTCATCCTTCTCTACCGGTGCTCTCGCCGACCTCTTCACTCGTCCTTCCAATGCCAACCACAATGGCCCCCAAGCCTACCCAGGACCCATCACGACTGCTGCAGTACAAGCTCAATCGCGTCGCTTGTCTTTGACCACGCTTGGGCTGTCTGGCTCCCAAGGCCAGGCTTCCCCGTTTAACACCATACGTGACCGCAAACAAAGCTTCTCGAGCGCTAGCAGTGCCTCCGCTGTGGATGAGAGTCCTTTCGAAGAGGAAGATCGGTCCACACCCGCCTTGGCTACACAAACAAACCAGTTCGCAAGACGACTCAGTTTTGGGGCTCGAGCTCTGCGAGATAGACAAAATTCTGGGAGTGCGAGCAATGCGAATGGTAGACCCTCCGTTGATAAATCTACTCTTCCACCCCCGACTACCAAAGGTCGAGGTCTGTTTGCACAACTACATCTAGAATCTTCTACTTCCTCTCCACACAACACATCTTTATCTTCACTTGTTCAACTGATGACAGTTCATAGTACCCGTGCTAATTTGTTATTTTCCTTAGCTGAAGGTTACAACTTTGCAGACAGCATGCGAAGTCGTGCTGAAAGAGGATCCATGTCTGGCAGGCCGCATTCACCACCTGGTCGTATGCACGAACGTGCTAAAAGCGTTGCTATTATGGAACCACCGAAAGAGATGCCGAAGGCTTCTCCAAAGATCCCCGATGCTTTTCAAGAACGGATCCTAAAGGGAGACTTCTACATGGACTAGCCCACAGATTCGACGATATGCAAACCCCTACAGAACACATAAAAGCCGGAGTTCAATCGTGAATAAACTGCCTTGAGCACTGACAGCACTTCAATTTGGCTGATAACACAGTCAACTAATTTGATATTTGGGGGTCATTCTTGTCCAGTACAGGCGTCCTGGCCGCCGTTATCACCACAACGTGACACAGAGACGTAACCGGCTGCACTGTATCTTGGCCTCTTCAGCATGTTATCCCTCATATTTTCTCATTGATATTATGTTTCTTTGATGTTACTCATTGTATGCCGACGAATCGTCCGAAAAACGTCCGCCCTGGGTGTTTCATCTGATCATCGCGGAGTATGGAGTCATCAATGCAAAACAGTCCTTGATGCAAGACTTTAATTGTCGTACCGAGTTTGATCAAACTTGTGGTTACCAATGGAATAATATCCGTTGGATGACGTGGTGACAACGCATCTCATTGCATCAAGGATACATATAATAATACGGCAGACGCCTCATCTACGCCTCATCTACGCCTTAGTGAGTCTATGCAGGATTGCTTTTCTGTGTACGTTGGCCTACAACACGATAATATGACCCAATTAAAGGTAGCACTCCTATTCCAAGAACAGCTCCCACGCGTCGGAAAAACTGCCGCGATATGAATCGGAAGTTGATAATAGTGCTCTACAATACATCATATCATGGTTTCAGCACGGCGTTAATTTGCACTTTTTTATCTTCCCCACCGCTCACAATCCCAACCTCTCGGTCCCAGCATATGCCAAAGACTTTCACTCCATCACCAGCAACAGCTCTCTTGCTCCTCTGCTTCATGCTCTCCCGATCGATCGTGTATACACTTTCGCCCACTTGTACGCTCCTAACATCGCTTCCTGCTGTCTTCACATTCCGCACGTCCCACACCCGACAAGTCCCATCATGACTGGCACTCACCAGCCGATGCTCATTCTCCGGGTCTGCCGCCAGATCAACAACAGAATTCGTGTGTCCTCTAAGCGTTGCCGCCGCAATTGTGGCCGTCGACTCGCGCGGATCGATCAGCGTGATATGTCGCGCCGATGAGCCTGCCGCGAGCAGGGATAGTGTTGGTAGCGTCGTTAAGCTTAGTAATGACGAATTCGTGGTGCGTAAAGAAACAGGTGTTGAAGTGGCCAGATCCCACGTGCGCAATGTGTGGTCATGGGAGGTCGAGTATGCAGCCGTTGGGTCTGCAGGGGAGAATATCACGGAAGACACGGGAGCGGTATGTGCACAGAGTAAGGACAATGGGCCTCTCTGCTCTGGGGATTCACCTTGCTGTTGTGACGCGAAAACTTTCTGTCGCTTGATCGATTTAGAGATAAGTGATTCAGGGGCCGCAGGTGCTAAGTCTGTGCTCGTGCTCCAGAGGCCAAGGGTGTGGTCGGAGGATGCCGAAAGAATGTGTGATGATGGAGAATGGACAGCAAGAGATTCAACAGCCCATTTGTGGCCGTAAAGCTCGAGAGTGGGTTCGATCGTTAAATGATCTGGGTCATATTTCCATACTCGCAAGACTGCGTCAAGGCCTGCGGACACGAGACGTATAGGAGACAAGAATTTCACGGATTTAATGGAGGTAACGCGAGAGCTGAGTGGGAGTTTAGATATGGCGAGGGGCTCGGATGCGTTTGTGGTATCCCATAGACGTAGTAGGCCATCGTAGCTGCCAGACAAGATACGTGCTTGACCTTGCGAAATAGTAGGCTTCGTGCGCCAAGTACTTGCGGGGGAGGTCGAGGATATGATGTCGACGGAGGAGACCCAGTCATCATGCTCAAAGGAGGCAACGTGGGTAGGCGGGCTGAGGGCGCGAATATATTCGACGCTGAGGACGGTTTCGGTGGATATCCCATTCTTGGTAAGGAACTCATCCAGTGTCGTGCGAAGGATTCGGCCATTGATGAGGAATTCGTATGGTACGGGCCGCTCGTTCTGTTGTAGGCTGTTGACGAGGCTTGAAAGCTGGAGACGCTTCCAACCTATATACTAAAGTGAGGATCCTGGAAGCGTCACGATTGAAAGACGACTTACTGGAGGATACGACGGTTGTGCCCGGGTCTTCCGGTAGAGCTATGCTCTGGTCTCGAGTCGAAATCCGCACTTGCACTTTCTCTTGCGGCGCATCGGCCATTAGCATTGCGACATTGTCAGCCATTACTCTCGTACTATGGAGCCCGAAAGCTGTAGTGTCGTCAGCGCCGTCGTGGTCGTGGTCGCATCTAGAATTGGAGAATATTTTTTATGGAGATCTAGGCACTACATTCTACCACCAGGCGCGGAGATAACGAAAGACAAGGTGGCGTAGACTCAAGTCCAGCCCTATAATTAGATTAGAAGATCTATAGCTAATAAGTCTATATTATTATTATAGTATATAGAATATTCTATATATATAGAGAGAAGTATAAACTAAATAAGTAAAGAATAAATATATATTATATAATTCTACTAGAGTAGTCTATAGCTAGTAGACTATAAGTAGTCTTAAGTTTAAATCTACTTTTATAGAGTTAATAAGTAAACTATTATAGAGTAGAGTACTATAGTATAATAAGTTATATAGTAGAGAAATTTATATAATATATCTATAATCTTTAACTATAACTAAACTAGAATATTATAAGTTCTTATTAATATATTTAATATCTTATCTTTTATTTAGATATAAGTAACTAATAAAAAATTCTTATTTACTATAGGAAGTAATAATTTATTAAAACTTCTTTATAGTATCTAAGAGACTAATCTATTTAATTTAGATTAATAGAGTAATAGAGTAATTATAAGAATAGTATAGATAGATAAAATAATAGAATATATTCTACTATGTAATAAATTACTACTAAACTCTCTTAGTAGTAATTAATAAATATATATATAACGAGATACTAATCTATTCTATATATAATTATTTACTACTTATTATACTATCTCTAACTAAATTAGCTAAGAAATATCTATATCTAGTCTAGTCTTTAGCTAATTTATAATAATTATTCTCTCTCTTTAGAAAGCTATTATTAGTAATATAGATTATTATATAACTCTAGTTTAGAATACTTCTATCTTTTAGTATTATACTATACTAATATTAGTACTAAGTTTATTAATAGTTTAAGTTAAGTTAGTTATAATATATACTATTTCTATCTACTTATATAGTTAGTTATATAAATATATCTAACTAGTTATTTACTACTATCTATATTACTTATATATATATATATATTTACTATTACTATATCTATAATAATATAAGAATTATAGATATAAGATAGTAGTCTAATAGATTATAGAAGGATTTAGAAATATATTTAAAAGAGTAGTCTACTCTTATAATAAGGTTAATTTCTAAAGAGTAGAAATTAAGTATATATAATCTACTTATATAGTAATCTTACTTATTCTAGCTAACTTAGCCTAGATCCTTCTATTATAGAACTATACTAGACTATAGTAGTCTAGTTAAGTCTATTCTAGTACTTATTCTAATAATATTCTTCTTCTTTTTATACTTCGCTCTAAAGTACTTAATTATATATAAATCTAAAATTCTATAATTATTATATTTCTATATATATCTAATTAAGTCTATATAATATAATTAATAGTCTTTATATAGATAAACTTTAGATTCTAGTTTACTTTTATTAACTTATATATATACTTATCTTTTACTTTCTAGCTACTATCTTAGAGATAGCTCTATAGGTTATATAACTATTATATTAACTAAGCTTATATTTAGCTCTCTTATTCTAAATTTTCTTCTTTAGTATATCTATCTTACTCTTAAGATAAGTTATTAATTTATATACTATCTTCTTTAGTTTAGATCTATTAGAGTCTAGAGTAGTCTATTCTTATTAGAATTAGTTTTATATAATCTATTTATATTATTATAGTTACTAATTTAGCTTTTCTAATTACTCTTAAAGCTAGATAAATATTCCTTTCTTAGATCTTTAGCTAATATATATATATATATATATAGATATCTAATACTAGTTCTATTTCTAAGTCTATCTTCTTCTCTTATAAGACTTACTCTAAAGAAATTACCTCTATTCTAGCTATACTAGCTAAAAAGTCTACTTATTATAGTAGTATAAAGATATACTCTAAGTTAGAGAAGAACATAGCTAAGACTACTACTACTATTATTACTACTAAGATAGCTATTAGTTACTCTAATCTAGATAATTCTAATACTAGTATTATAGAAGAAGTAGCTATAAAGTCTACTTATACTTTCTTATACTATCTATCTACTCTATCTTCTTTAGAGAATAAAGAAGATCTTATTATAGATAATAATTAAGAGTTTATACTCTTACTACTCTACTCTAAATACTATTTCTCTTTTTAGTCTAATATAGACTAACTTAATTATTCTAGATTCTTTTAGAATCTTATTATTTACTCTAAGTCTAGCTCTACTAATAATAAGATCTAGGTTACTAAAGATACTAAATATAGTTATAGTTTATACTATAGAAAAATAGTAAACTATAGTTTAATATACTATAAGTATATTAAGACTTATATAACTAGCTCTAAATATCTCTTTTACTCTAACTCTAGTACTAGTTATTATTCTACTAACTCTAATAGTTCTATATACTCTATCTTTACTCTATCTATCTACTACTACTACTATACTATTCTTAGTAAAGTTTATCTTTAGATAAGTCTATTAGACTATTTTAGTCTAGAGTAATCTAAAGTTATCTATACTAATATATTTTTAGATTTCTATTTATATATAAGATATATATAATAATCTTTATATCTATAAGACTCTTAGTAGTTCTAGTAGTTATCTAGTCTTTATATATAGAGAGTTTAGAAAATACTATAAGCTCTTTCTAGAGATTATTAAAGTATAAGTTTAGAAACTATTAATTACTCTTAATCTTAGCTTATAATTTTTAGTTACTATAAGATTTCTAGTACTTAGACTATCTATTCTAAAGAGTTAGTTTTAGCTACTAAAACTATAGAAGAGATTTAGTATATCTCTTTTTATCTAACTTATACTACTAATAGATCTTATAAGAGATCTACTAGTTCTCTCTCTAAGTTACCTTATAAGAGAGTATATATTCTATTCTAGATTATTCTAGATTATATTAGCTAACTTTAGATCTAGTTACTCTAGTCTAGTATATAGTTCTTCTTCTACTAGACTCTAGTTAATTAGATAGCTAGTATCTAATCTCTACTACTATATTATCTTTTTAGATTAGTTAGTTTACTCTAAAAAGAAGAATAAAATAAAGGAATAGCTCTATAGGTCTATATACTAGTGTTTCTATATAGTATATTATAGCTCTATCTATCTAGTTTCTATCTATTTTAGTCTTTTTTAGACCGTTTAGATATCTACTTACTAGTTTTCTAGTAATTTAATTCTTAATTTAATAATATTATATATACTCTTATTTATTCTATAACTATTAAATTCTAGATTCTAATTTACTTTAAGTTACTTAAGTTTAGATAATATATATAAATTAGTTTATCTCTCTAAATTATATTAGAGTATCTAAACTAGTAGTCTAGTAGTTATTAGTTTAGGTACTCTAACTTTTTATATTATATATTATATATTTAATTCTATTAGAAGGTATCTTTTTAAGTTCTTAGTTCTATATTTTTCTTATATATAATAGTCTATATTAGTCTATTCTAGACTTTTCTATATTATTCTATTATAATATATTATATTATATATCTATAATAGTTATTTATATTTTCTTCGTGTTTAGTAACTATATATTATTTAAATTATAGGGCTACCTTATAGAGTTTTTCTAGTATATATTTAAGATTTATAATTTAATACTTTATTCTCTATAGTATTCTTTTTCTTTTTATAATAGCTCTAATAGTACTAGGTTTATAGTAGTAATATATTATTCTATAACCTCTATTTATATATAGATATCACGGTACTTAAGATATATACTATAGGTTTCTAGATATTCTTATTCTTAGTATAGTTCTTCTAATAGATTTAATACTTCTAGATACTATTCTTATTAAGTCTATAATTAATAATATAGTCTACTTTATATATATCTAGTCTATCTTAGAGTATAATAGAATATAACTATATATTTATATAATTATATATATTAGATTAAAACCTTTCGAGTAATAAGATATAGAATATATTATAGACTTTTATATTATTTTCTAGGTTAAGCTTATAGACTCTTAGACTAATATAATATTTAATTTAGAAGAGACTAGGTATTTTATAATTAAGCTTTTTATTTACTTATAATATTTATATATTATAGATATTAAGAAGAACTTTATCTTTCTTCTTATATATTTAATCTTTAACTAATCTATTATAGTACTTTATATATAACTTATTTACTTACTAGATTATTATATAATAGTTATATATAGCTTTAAAGATTTTAATTACTAGTTTCTATATATATATATATTAATATCTATTATTTAGTTAAACTAGATCATATAAGGTTTAAAATCTATTCTTAGACTATATTTTAGGTTCGCCTAGAAGAGTATAACGTCTATTATACTATAATAACTATTATTATAAGTAAATTCTACTATACTTAGTAGAGAGGCCTAGTTATCTTATTTAAAATTTTAGAATATATAAAGGTAGACCTTAAGTATTTAGTTCTATTACTCTATCTAACTATCTATTTATAGATAGAATACTATTAATATATTTCTATTTATACTAGCTATTTTATAGAATAACATCTAGAATTTAGATATAAATATACTTCCTTAGTCTATAATAATTCTTTTTAGTATATTATAGACCTTAATAATCTTATTCTAGAGTACTTATACTAGTTCTTTTAATATAATTATCTTCTATATAGAGATATACCTAGATATCTTTATAAGCCTATCTATAATAATAAGAATTAAATTATAACTTATTCTAAGTATCTTACTTAGAGATAAGTTAACTATAAAATCTATAATAATATCTTTCTATATAAAGAGGGGGACTAGTAGAGACTATAAATTCCTATATAGCTTATATCTAGATACCTTTATTCTTTAATAAATCAGATAAGTAGCTATCTATTCTTTAATATACTTAGATATATCTTTCTAAAAATAGTACTAACAAATCAAGCTTAGGGTATATAT